CCAACTGACCCCGCTTGCTCCAGGTCGAGGAGCTTCCACGTTCGCACTTTTCCGCGCCGATCTTTCTGATGGAGGCCAACTCCCACGCTCCGGACAGCTGCACCGTCACCACCGCCGCCTCCGCCGCCGCCACCACCGATCCTCCCGCGGCCCCTCCCGCCCTGGGCGATCCTCAAGCCGAGCTGTCGGCCGCCTCGCAAGAGCGCCTCCCCGTCGAGTCCTTTTCCCAGCCCCCGAGCAAGCGCCCCCGGGCCGATCCCGCCGGAACGCCGGACCCCACCGACCCCCCAGCCATGCCCCCCCCGCAGCATCACTCCCAGAGCGAGGATGAGGACACCCTGAGCCGGCAGCAGGCCGATCTCCTTTCCTCCATCGAGGCCGAGCTGACCACCAAATGTACGTGTGTTCCTGCGCACTCGCACGCCGCCATGACCCGGCTTGCTCACACCCCGCTCGCTCGGTGTTGCCTCATGCCTGCGGCACCTCTCCCCCCCCCCCCTCCCCGCAGCCTTCAATGCTTGGTTCTACTCCCTCTTCGAGAACGACAGGGCCAATCTCCGGCACATGGTTCAGACCTTCAAGCTCCCCCAGGTTCGCTCCGCCTATTGATGTCACCGCCCGGCCTCCTCCTCATCCTCCCGCCCGGGGTTATCTCACCGATCGCCATCCCCTGCTCCCCCCTCGCCGCTCAGGCCATCGTCGCCATTCCCCCGAGCAGCATCTACTCCTACTTCCGCTCGCTGATCGTGGATATCATCCCCCGGCGCCCGTCCGTCGTGGCTGTGCCCGACCTGGATGCCGTGGTGGACATCATCCGCCGGGCTCGGCGCATTTGCGTCCTCACCGGGGCCGGGATTTCCGTCAGCTCCGGCATCCCGGACTTCCGGAGCTCCGGTGGCGTGTACAGCCTGGTGGGAGACCGCTATCCGGACCTCCCGACCCCGGAGGCCATTTTCGACCTGAACTACTTCCGCACCAACCCCGGGCCATTCTTCGCCTTCGCGTCGGAAATGTTCCCCGGCATGACCAAGTACCATCCCACCCCGACGCACTACTTCATCCGACTGCTGCAGGACCACGGCCAACTTGAGCGCAACTACGCCCAGAACATCGACGGTCTGGAGCTCGAGGCCGGCATCACCAAGCTCGTCCAGTGTCATGGTGGGTTTCTCCCCCCCTCCGACATATTTGTCTTGCTTTTTCCCCTCCCCCCCTCGCCGTGTGCCTGCCTGCTTGCCTACTCCCTCTGGCTCATTCGTCCCTCTGCCTCCCCACCTTCCTCCCTTTCCCCCGTTACCACGTCACGCCACCGGCAGGCTCCTTTGCCACGGCCACCTGCCAGCTGTGTGCGCGGAAGTACCAAGCCGATGACATCCGCGAGGCTGTCATGGCTCACATCATCCCCCGGTGCGAATGCGACCCCGAGAACAGTGTCATCAAGCCTGGTACGTGGGTTCCCCATCTGCGCGGCACCTTTCGTCCGAGACATTTGCCTCCCTGACTTCGCCCGCACTTTGCTCTCTCTCTCTCTCTCTCTCTCTCTCTCTCTCTCTCTCTCTCTCTCTCTCTCTATCTCTCTATCTATCTCTCTCTCTATCTCTCTCTCTCTCACACACACACATATGCAGACATCATTTTCTTCTCCGAGAGCCTGCCGTCCACTTTCGACGACGCCATCAACCAGGACTCCGATCACATTGATGCCATGATTGTCATCGGCACCTCGCTGCAGGTGTCTCCAGTGTCTCTGGTTCCCTGTGCGTCTCTTTCCCGGCTGTGCTCCCCCCGGCCGTGTCCCTCCATCCCGCGCTCTGCTGTGGCTGTGCTGCGGTCTATTCCTTTGTGGCTGACCTCCCCCCCCCCCTCCCCTCCCATCCCATCCCAATCCCCAAACACACGCTCACACAGCCCTCCTCCCGCGCGGTGTCCCCCGGATCCTGATCAACCGTGAGTTGGTCTCCACGGCTACCTTCGATGCCGAGATCCTGGGCGATTGTGACAAGGTCATCGTCGAGCTCTGCCGTCGCCTTGGCTGGCTGGACAAGCTGAAGGCCCTTTGTGCGGCCGATGGCACCAATCTCGACAAGGGTATGTTTGCCTGTGCCTGAACATCCCGCGCGCTCGACCCAGGGAGCGCCGCCCCCCTTCCAGTCGTGTTTCCCCCCCCCCGCTCAAGGCACACCACTACACCCCGGCCTTTGTGCTAACGCGCCGAATCGCCTCCCCTCGGACTCCTCCTCCACCCGCCAGTTATGATCAACTCCGAGACCGACATCGACACCATCAAGCCCGGCCTCTTCCGCTTTGTCCACCGGTCGGCCGGCGAAGCCGAGCCAACCGGGCCGCTGCCTCGCGTGTCTCGCCGGGCACACTACAGCTCCTCCTCGGAAGATGAGGACCAGGGTGAGGAGGACAACTACTCGGACGACGAGGGCCTCGGGTCGGACGAGCTGGCCGGTCTTGGAGCCGGCAGCGCTGACGAGGGCAGCGACGACGGCGACGACGATGACGCCATGAACGCCTATCTGGCCATGCGCCGGCAGCAGCTGGAGGCCGAGCGCGCCGCCGCCGCCACTGTGACCGCCTCCTCCCTCAGTCAGCCGGTGGATGATGAGGAGGGTGATGATGAGGACGATGAAGAGGGCGAGGACTATGATGCGGTGCTCTCTTCGCACAAGGCTCGCGCGGCGCTGGACTCCGTGGCCGCCGAGCTGGCCGATGCCACCTCCAGTCAATGAGAGCACATGAGGCAGAGGACAAAAGGGCACCGAGAAGGAAAGAGACAGGGAGAAAGAGAGTAAGAGAGAGAGAGAGGGGGGGGGGGGGCTGGCAACATGGGTAGCATGCCTGACCCCCCTTTCCTTGCTCTTTCCTTCCTTTTGCCGCGACCGCACTCTTGGCCCGACCGCCCGCTGAAGACCGTGCATGTGTGTGTGTGTGTCTCCAGAAAACAGTGTCTAGCATTTGTTCGATATATTTTCTCGTGGACGCCCCGCCTGACGGCAGAGAGAGAGAGAGAGAGAGGGAAGAGGGAAGACACAAGGAGTGCACATGGCATAGGGAGGGAGGGAGGGGGGGGGGCGGGGGGACTTACTTGTCCAGCTTGTTGTGACCCTCACGGTTGCGGGCAATCTCGATGGCGTAGAACTGGATGCGAACAACTGGGGCGGTAGGGTGATGGGGGTCAGGCCGGGTGGGACCACAGGAAGCGAGAAGAGAAGGAGGAGGAGGAGGAGGAGGAAAGGGAGAAATGACGCACCGAGGATGGTGTTCTCCTGGCTGTAGCCCTCGGTGCACTTGGAGCGGAGGAGGGTGCCAGCGCTGAAGTCCTCGACCTGGTGCTCGTACTTGTTGCAGAACTCGCGCCACTTGGCCTTCTTGGCCTCAGTGCCCTTGAGGATGTCATCGTCGACCGAAGACAGGTCGAAGTCGGGGAACTCCTTGCGGAAGTGCTCATAGATGGCGTCGTCAATGCTGTGAGGACGACCGATCATCGCCATGGACGGGGGGGGGGGGGAGCAGCCGAGTTAGAGGGGCCGTTGCGGCAAGCCAAGGGCGAGAGGCGGGACCACAAATGCAGGAAGAGCAACCGGGACAGTCGAAGGGGGCGAGATGCGCGCCACGCACCGGGTCAGGCGCAGCTTGGACCCGTCAATGCGGCTCAGGAGCTTCTCGTGGGTCTCGGCGAACTTGAAGGCCAGCTCGGCCCAGGCAAGCTCGATGTCCTGGTTGTTCCCGAGGGCGTTGGGGTCGATGGAGCTCATGGTTGCAGAGAAAGGGAAGGTGCGGGATGGGGTGGGAGGAGGAGGAGGAGGAGGAGGGTGGGATTTGTTCTGGGCGCTCCCCAGCCGGGAGCCCGCCGCGGGGGGGGCTCTCTTCATGTGCTCGGGAGTTCACCCAGCCCGGGGGCGGTGCCTGGCCGGAGGCATGAGGGAGAGCAAGGGTCACACGCATGTGCAGAGACGCACACAGACACACATAATGGAAAAGGGAGAAGGTGCATTTATCGAACGCCCAGAGCCCTCCCGGACTTGATAAAAAAAAGGGGGGGTCCAGCCAGGCGGCAAATGCCCAGACGACAGCAGGCCGGCAGGCGCCAGCCCCACACGGGCGCACACACGCACGCACACCCAGGCGGAGGGGCGCATGCCCAAGCGCACGTCGCCGCGTGTGACGCGGGAAGAGAGGGAACACCCCACGCGCATACACAGGGAGCGATGGCAGCTGTGGCGCGGAGAGGCCGGCGGCGGGAGCCCCCAGCGGGGTGCCCACTCTCTCGAATGGTATTTCCTCGGGTACTGGACTGTCGGAATCTCATCGCTTGAAGAGGTCGCTAATATCACGCCGGAGCTGCGAGTGGACCAGGCGATCGATCGACACCGAGGCGGCGATCGAGGCGGCACTCTCGCCAGCCCCGGGCCCCGGCGGCAGGAGCCCCGAGCCGGTCTCGGACTTGTCGTGCTCGCCGGAGCATGGGGGGGAGGTGGGATCGGTCTCGGCCCGGGTGCTGCTGCCCTCGTCCTCGGCCTGGTGGGCGGCGGCCTCGGCGCCGGTGCCCAGTCCTGCCCGACTGCCAGCTGCTCGGGCCCCGATGACAAGTTGCTCGAAGGGGACGGGCCCAGCGGCGGCGGCGGCCGCAGACCCACCGGGTCTTGTGGCGGATGCCGGTGCTGGGCCGCCCTCCTCCGGGGAGGAGCCGGCCGTGCTGGGGATGGGCAATTCCGGACAAGAATGCGCCCGCTCGGTGGCCGGGCTCCAGCCACTGCGCAGCAGCAGGGCATACCCCCGGTTGGATGGGTCGAGAGGCGGGGCCCGGAGGAGACGAGCCACGGGCGGGGCCACTGCCGGGCGCCGAGACGACGGGGCATCCGGCCGCCGGATCGGCACTCCCACCAAGCATGCTGGCAGGGCTGGCCGGGCCCCTCGCGGCAGGGGGGAGGGGAACCCGGCAAAGCGGCGCTCGCCAACCGGCGCCAAGTCCTCCGGTGCCGGGTCAAGCGCCGGGCCCGGCTCAATTGTCATGAGATCACCCTCGGCAGCCGGCTCAAAGCCCACCGGGGTTGGTGGCCCCCCGATGGCGGGGACCCGATCTAGGATGGTGATCTCTCGTGACAAGAGACTCTGCAGCCGATGCGATGAGCCGGCCGCCGAGGGTGAAGTGCCATGCCTTGGGGCCTTGCGGGCCAGGAGAGCCGGTGAAGAGTGCGAGCGCTCGACCTCCAGCCGGGCCCGCCGGGTGGACGTGCCAGGCACACAGACAATTGACCGGTAAATGTCGGCCGAGGAGGACGATCGAGAGGGACCGGCCGGCGGCGGGGGCGACGTGCGCTCCGGCACCATGGCGGCCGCGCCAATCCGGCTGGCGACCGGGGCCTCGGTCGGGCTCCAAGTCCGGGTGGGGGAGCCCTGACGCAGTCGGGCGATTCGCGGCTCCGGCGAGAGGGTGCGCTCGACAGTCGATGCGAAGTTGGCAAACGGGCCGGCGGAAGGGGGGGACGCCGGACAGACAGCTGGCCGAGAGGCGGGCGAGCCGCCATCAGGGGACATGGAGGCAGGGGACAGGGCAACAGCAGCCGGGGCCTCTTCAAACGGCCATTTCCTTCGGGCGGCAATCGGGAGGGGGGGTGAATGGAACGACCAGGATGCCAAGCCAGATGCGCGAAGCTGACGGCACAGAGAAAGGGGCAAGGAGGGGACGCGTCGGGGGGGGGGGGGGGGGGGGGGGGGGGAGCAGGAAGAAGAGCGCATTTCTTGGGCGCTCAGGGGGGGGGCCAGTTGGATCCTGGGGTGGCCGAAAAGTATGCTTCAACATTACGCGCCTGGGGCCCCACCACACGATCGAGAAGGCGGACATGGGGGAGAAAAAAAGAAAAAAAAAAGACCAGTCGTGGCCCCGCCACGCACAAAAGCGGGCGGATGGTCAAAGACATTCGTAGGGGATCTGGAGTTGTAGGATATCGTTCTGATATTGTGGCTTGCGCCAGGTATACATCTAAACACCGCCGTGATGGCGGTGGGAATAATGGGGGCGGGGGGGGAAGAGGGGGACGGCGGCCGGCAGGGCGCCGGGGAGATCGGGCGCGGCGAAAGGAGGACCCTCACTTCGGCGGGAGGCCGCGATAGGCGCGGTCGATAGTGGCAACCTGGTCGACGAGCTCGGCCCATTGGGCGGCGTTCAGCATAATGCCTGGGACACGAGGAGAAAGGGGGAAGTGGGTGAGAAGGGGAAGGGGTCTGTGGCAGGAGTCGCAAGGAGGGGAGCGGTGTGGGGGGGGGCGGGGGAGGGAGGCAGGGAGGCAGGGACGCGTACCCTTCTTGGTCGGCAGAACTTGGCCGTTCGGGGCGTTGTAGTACTCGCGGATGTTGACATACTTGACACCACGGAAGGACGACAGCGTCACATGCTTAAAGTCGGAGAGCTGGGAGGCCGGCGAAAGGGGACGAGATCAGTGGTTGGCGAACTTTGAGAAGGAAAGAGAGAGAGAGAGAGAGAGAGAGAGAGAGAGGAGCGAGACAGCGGGTGCATGCTCCGCGCACCTTGAAGCAAATCTCGCCGGCGGAGTTCTCCGGGTAGCCGGACTTGGAGACAGCCTTCTTGGGGGCAGGCGCCTCCGGCTCGGCGTCCGAGGCATCGGAATCGCTGTCGGCGCTCCGGCGCTTGGCGGCCTTGGCCTTCTTGCGGCGCTTGCGCTCGGACTCGCTGTCAGAGTCGGAGTCAGAGGCGCCAGAGGAGTCGGAATCGCTGTCCGCGCGGCTGCGCTTCGAGCTCTTTGTCGAGCTCTTGCTCGGGGTGGACTTGTCCTTCTTCGGCTGCGGGAGGGTCGAGGACCCATGGCTGGGGGTTAGGGACGCCGGGGTCGGAGAGGGCCGGCTTCCAGGCCATGGGCAGGCGGGGAGAGGGGCAGATCGCCACGCACCTTGGTGACAACGACGGTGTTCTGTCCGGTTGACCGATGCAGCGCGACGCGAGCAGGGCCAGGAGTTGGTGAGAGCAAGTTAGCGGCGCTGGTGTCAATGCAGGAAGATGGGCACAGAATGCTGGCTGCCCACCTGGTCATCGCTGTCAGAGGACAGATCGTCCATGGTCAGCTGCTTCTTCTTGGAAGACATCGGAAACGCGAGGCAGGGAGGGGGGAGGGGGAGGGCGAGCGGGGCTTGCGATGAAGCAGGAGGACGG